CTCATGCTGGAATCGAACCAGCGACCTTCTGTTTACTAGACAGACGCTCTGCCCCTGAGCCAATGAGGCTGGTAGGCCAGAACTATCCGAACAGTTCCTAAAGGCACCTCCCACTGTACCAACTAGAGGATTCCCACTGTTTTTCATAACGGTGTCTGGTCTGCAACTACACCAGAAGCTCACATTGTGCTTTTGGTGTAGTTGCAGACGACATGCCGGTTATGGAACGAACCAAAACGCCCACCAATGGATAGTGGAATTCTGTCAACTTAATGCTCAAACTTAATACTGCAATATGAAGTTATCAATAGACCAAGACAGATTTGTCCACAACATTTTTCACTATCTGCACCCTAGGATAAAAATAATCGGTAGTATTTCATATGAGTAAATTCTTCAGGATGAGGCATGACTCAGGGAGAAAGACAGAGGAAAGGAACGAAGAAGAGGGGGGAGGGGAGAGGGGGAGGAGGGTGGAAGGGCAAGGATTGCTACAACTTAAGAGAGTTTTGTAATTTGTGAGTTAGTTCAGATACCTGACTGAACATGCTATCTCCAAATCCTCCCTTTGCAGAAACAGTCCCGTAAATCAAAAAGACGACATGCTCACCCAAGAATCCGTGAAGATAAGATTGACCTCCTTGTCGCGATGAGTTTTCTTCAGCTCCAGCTCTACTTTCCCATTCTGGAAGAGTATACTCTCATCAAATCTCCTCATCACGCGCAACCCCACCTACCTTTACTTGGTTTGGCTCCGGAAAAGCTCTTCTCCCATCAGGGCGCTGCTTTAACTCCAATGCCACTTTGGACAACATCTTTAGCCAGCCGTCTCGAGCAATTATGTGACATTTTGTCGATGAAAATCGACTGGAGAAACGTCCGCCTACTTTTCTCACGCTATTCTCACACGTTCGGACAGAGAGTAGTGCTATGATTGGTCAGTTTCTTACGTCCGCCCATTTTTCCCAGCCCATTCGTGGGAGAATACGCTAGTTGTTTGTGCTCTCCGTTTTGGGAGTATTCTCTCCCATCTGGTGATGATGACGTCGGAGTTTGTAATAAGCATATCCTTCAAAAGAGGATATATCGTAATTGATCGCAATAGGTCAATTGAATATATTCAATTAGTCAAGTTTCTGCAAATAAACCTATAAATCTTATGCAGGGAACTAGAGAAAGGAGACAAGAGAACATAATTGCACAAGGTAGATTTTCAAGAAGCATCAGTGTCGGTCTTGTCGTAAAGTGGGTTCTATGCAGTTATTGAGTTTGAAATCGCAACGTTTTAGTTCGTTCTCTAAGAAAAACCAGGCAAATTTGTGCATGCAAAAATTACCAAGTTTTTCTAAGGCTACTGTAAATTAGGTCGTGCTACATCGCGTCCTAAATGTAATCGCTTGTGTAAACAAATTACAAGGAAGCAACGTCTAAGCACTAGTCAAATACAGTTTATTTTCTGATTTAGAGAGAAGCCAGATCGCGCATATGCGGTGCGGCTGTCGACGCCAACAAGTCGCGTCGGCTAGTTGCGCGTCGCAATAGCTGACCATTCGCATTATTCTCAACTCATGATCGTTGCCACCCTCTTCTGCTGCTAATCCCGCAATCTTCCCTTATTTATATTTGCTGCAGATGCTTTTTTGCTTAAATAGAGATAGAATAGTATTCCATAGAATCTATTCTTGAATTGGAGACCGATCACGTGCACAGGGAAGAAGCCTGAGAAGCTTGGACGAGATTTCTCCTTTAGTTTGTT